AATATTAAGGAACTCTTTGCCAGCAGTCGGAGCTCGAGAGACATTATGCTTGTGAAAAAAGCGCTATTTTAGAAGACTTCTCCCCCACTTCCTCCTCCTCCTCCTTTTCAAAAACCCCTCCCTCCCTCCCTCCGTACCAATACATTTAAAAAGCTACGGCGGGCGGACGTAGTTAAAAACGACCGACAGACTCTGAAAAACATGTCTCTCCCGCCTTCATCATCGCCTTCATCGCCAGAGGCCGGCCTTATCAGGCCTTCTTCTGCACCGCCGTCGCTGATGCGTTTGGCCTCTCCTCCTCCTCTGGCTCAGGCTTTTCAGCCTCCTTCTCCACCGCTGCAGCTGTCCCAGGGCTTTCCTCCTACTCCTCCATCTTCACCGACAGACCCCACTCCTCCGTCAACTCCAACAACGCCTGATTCACCTGACGGTGGTTCTTCTTCTTCTTCTTCACCGCCTGCTGCCACCGTTTCTTTAGCAGACGTGCGAACTGGATATCCTTGTAAAGGAATGCCAATGAAATGGACGCGGTGCTGTCTGTGGGATTTCTGAATATGGTGAGAGCTAGAGCCCTGCGCTGGAGCCCGAGGCCCGAGGGGCCCAAGGGGCCCAAGGGGCCCGGCGGCCCGAGGGCCGGGCTTCAGGCCAATTACCACATCATTACCTCGGACACAGGCCGGGCTCTGGCTTTTTTTTTAACCTGCCAATTAGAGAGGTGTGTGTTTGTGTTTAACCGATTTAAATGGCAACACTTGAACGCAGCAGCCGTTGTGCCTCTCCCTCTCCGCTGCACGTCACTCATCATATTGTAGCGTCCGCCAGGACGTGTGGAAGGATGACGCGGTTATTCGGCAAACCACCGTTTGTTACTGAACAGTACAGGTTATTGTTGGCCGTAACCACGCCAAAACAACCACAAAACAAGGACTTAGCTGTAACGTTAACTCGAACCATGCACTGCTGCTCTCTCCTCCAGCTTGCTCCACACACACAAGCACGCGCACTCACACAGCCCTCATCCTCGTCACTCTCGCACCCCGCTCACAGAACATTGACGTTACAACAGAACATTCACTGCAGGGTCGCTACAATATTTTACTGATCCCATTCATAAACACTGTGACAAGGTTTGTTTTGTTCGTGTTTGTAGCTTAGGCTTGGATAGACGTGTTTATTTGTTAATAGACCTGCCACCTACAATTTGCAATATCAGGCGCTGCAGTTGCATCTCGCACAGTCACTTCAAAAAACAAAATAATCAATTAAACAGCCCCGAAAATGCTTCAAACACGTTTCTAAATAATCTTAATATTGAAAGGAAATGAAATATACCCAGATAAGGGTCTATATGTGCATGTACTTATGGCATAAGTGGGTATATTTCATTTCCTTTCAATATTAAGATTATTTAGAAAAGTGTTTGAAGCATTTTGGGGGTTGTTTAACTGATTATTTTGTTTTTTGAAGTGACTGTGTGCGATGCAACTGCAACAGTGCACAGCAACAGTTGACAATTCTCACTAAATAGGAGAATACAGTCATTAAGTTAAATAAATTCATATTTAACTTTATCCTTTCAATCAAAATATAATGAATATAGCTTAATACCATAGAAACCCCAATTAAACTAATTTAATGTCTGCAACATTAACAGCCTACATGTTGTTATGGGAGGTTTAAAAAAAAAAAAAAAAAAAAAAGTCGGGCTTTTTTTCGGGTTCGGGCATGAGAATTCTGAAAACCTGTCAGGCCGGGCGGGCTGGGGCTCCACCCCCTCGGGCCAGGGCCGGGCCGGGCCCAGATAATAGGCCCGTGCAGGGCACTAGTGAGAGCCGTAGTGAGTAAACTGCTGCTGAATGTTTTGGGCCAGTACAGAAGGTAAATCTGCAACGGGTGTCAAATCAAGCATCCGAGTCAGTGTCAGCACGAATGTCTGGAAGAGATGTCGGACTATTTTTACGGGGTACACTACCACCAGCTGATGCAAAGACTTTGGACGGATCATTTTATCCCTACCATCCAACAAGCTTTTAATGCTCGCCGTCTCTGCTTGTCCCAGTACCGGATCCGTGATTGTGATTTCCTGCTGCATGACTTTAAAACGATAAGACGCATCGATCATTTGATCGCCAAGATTTACAACACGATGACGAAGGAGATTGAAATTGTAGACCAAGCTCTGGAGTTTTGGCTTAAAAAGTGAAAATGGGTCACTACTGGAGTAAACTTGTAACGCATGTAGAGGAACACGTTGTCATTTGTCGTTTAATCCATGTTTTGGATCAGGTTATTAAAAACAAAATGAGTGTGAATCATGTGGGTTTGAACAGAGACGTTAAAGTAACTCGATTGGAATGCATGTTGGATATAGTTAGGTCTCAATCTGTACATACACCCTGGGATGTGTTGGTACGGTGCACATTGCAACTTGTAAAAGACGGTTTGGTGGCTGATGCATTCTACAAAATCATTAAAGAGATGAATGCCTCAAACGTAAGCCATTTGGTTACTCTGTACGCTTTGTTTGTAGACGCAGTGAGTTGTCTTGTACAAGGCAATAACATACCTGTGGACACCTTGACAGAATTGAAAAGGTTGCATTATTATTCACATTATCCAAGGAACCTCCGCCATGAATTTGCTCTCGTCTGCTTTAGCCTAATGCTATGTTTTTTGTTTTGTTTTTTACCGTGTATACCTCATATATCTTGTGATTGTTTTTAAGTCATGTATACCTCATATATCTTGTAATGTTTTCAACATGTATACCTCATTTAACTTGTTATTGTTTGAATCATGTATACCTCATACAGTATCTCACATAAGTGAGTACACCCCTCCCATTTTTGCAAATATTTCATTATATCTTTCCATGGGACAACACTATAGAAATGACACTTTGATATAACTTAAAGTAGTCAGTGTACAGCTTGTATAGTAGTATAGATTTACCTTCCTCTGAAAATTACTCAAAACACAGCCATCAACATCTAAACAGCTGGCAACATAAGTGAGTACATCCCACAGTGAACACGTCCAAATTGTGCCTAAAGTGTCAATATTTTGTGTGCCAACCATTATTATCTAGCACTGCCTTAACCCTTTTGGGCATGGAATTCACCAGAGCTCACAGGTTGCTTCAGGAATCCTCTCCCACTCCTCCATGATGACATCATGGAGCAGATGGATGTGAAGACACCTTGCGCTCCTCCACCTTCAGCTTGAGGATGCCCCACAGGTGCACAGGTGAGTTTAGGGCTGGATACATACTTGGCCAGTCCATCACCTTCACCTTCAGCTTCCTCAGCAAGGCAGTTGTCATCTTCTAGGTGTTTATTATTAAAGTAATTATCACGCCGTATAATTAATCCAATGAGCAGCTGTTTTCCACTTTTTTCTTTCACTCCTTTTTACCGGTGTAACCCATTCCTCCTCCTCCTCTTCCGCAAACGGAATTAAATCTTGTTTTTTTCCGCTTTCCTTTCTCCCTCTCGACCAGCGCTATGGCCCCCTCTTCTCCTTCTTCCTCTTCTTCCTCTCCTTCACGCCACCCTCCGGTGGTTTTGAGTCGACGATATTGAGCACGAGCGCAAGGATTGGTCACCGAGGTTATCGGTATGTTGAGCTCCATCAGAGTATTCAAAAAGCCCATCCATCCCTTTGGCGTTAGAGATTTCTTTTTATAAGAGACTGGTAGGTTTTTAAACAAGTCAGTCATATGCGAACCTCTTACAATGAATAAATTCGCCCTTAGGAGTCCACCCGTCCTGGTTCTTGACTAATTTCTTAATAATATACTTGGCATTTTTGCGGTCTCACTGAGGAAGATTTTGCAGTACCTCGCGCCGTCTCATCCATTCCTCCCTCTTTCTTGTCCTTTTCTTCATTTTCATCTTGTTTTTCTTCCAGCTCGTCAGAGTCACGAGGTAGGCCGCTCACCGTCTTTAGGTAAAGTCGACGTTCCTCCTCCCCTTGTTTGATCAGGGTGAGGTATCTTTGTAACAGCTTTATATTTTTTATTTTTTTCATAAGGATTAAGCCCCCATTCATTTAATATATCCCTCATTTTTTGTGTCTAAATCATTTTCAGCCGTACATCTCATGGCGTGAGATTCACCGCCGTTGTTGTTGTTGCCCAAAGTCTGACTCATACGGCTCAGCTGTTGAGGCGTGACCAGAAACATCTTTTGAGACATTTTTGATTAGTGCCTATTAATTAGTCTTCCTAGAAGCTGTCCAAAGATGGGCACAACCGCCGAAAGCAGAGGCAATAGAAACCCTCCGGACTGGGTCATCAGAGCTCAGCGCTTGCTTTTTAGGCTGGCTTTTTTATTTACCAGCAATTTGATAATTTTTTGCCTTTTGATTTTTTTAATATTGAGCGCCGTCAGGGGAATGTTTCCTTTTAAAACATTTAAAGAGAGTTCGCACAAAGACTGAAGAAAGTCGGAAGAGCCGTGGTTAAGAATATCTTTACGTCTCTGAGGCGTGGCGTGACACAAAACACGCAGTAAAGAAGCATTCCTTTTTAAACGCACAGACATGATGATGATGATTCAGGAAGACCGCGATTTAGGTAGATAGACGACTGGCCACTGCTCTGGTAACAACCCCGATCTCTTGTTCTGGGCAATTTGGGGTGATCTCTATGATTAAATAACCATGAGCGTTTCTGGTGGCATCTTCAAAACTTACTGAAAAAAAGTTTTTTGCGAAGGAAAAATTTGCTGAGCCAATATATTTATCTGTAACCTATCTCTGGGGTTTTTAAACAAGACCAGGTAATTACTGTTTAAGCTGATGGTCCGACTGTGTTTGCCCCGATGAAAAACATTTTGCGTCAACATCATGACGCTCATGTTCCTGTGGTGTCTGTATTGTGTAAAAATCGTGACTACTTCAGGATGGTCAGAGGCCTGAAAAATGACATCGTCCAGGATAATCAAGTGATTTTGATCGGGCAGAAACAGGTTCTCATCATCAAAAGAATCAAACAGGCCTTCAACAAATTTAATCTTTTTATTCATCTTTTGCAGCTCTGCGTACATGGGTTGAAACAAAGTATATATCCATACAATATTTTCAGGCACCTGAGACAAAACATTGACAGTTTTCCAATACACTTTTTACAAAAAGTTTTTCCACAACCGCTGGTCGGCTGAAAACATTTCAATAGCCAAATGGCAACGTTTCACCTGTGGAAAGCAGCCGTCTTTTGTGAAATACCACATGAAACCTTTTTTAAAATGACGAGTTTTTAAGAAGAAACCCGTTTTTATCCCTCTTTATGCCATGTTGAAGAGTCTCAATAAACCCCTCCTCCTCCCTGTCCCCTGTACGGTGGTTTTGCAGGTAGCCCTCTACCAGCTCTTTGACGCCGTCAAAATTGATTTTGACATTTGTGCGTCTGAGTAATGCCCTTCACCCGCAGCACGGCTCGCTTGTTTTTGGTCAAGTTCGCGTAACTTTTAGGACCCGCGGCTGCAAAATCCCGTATCGTGTCACCGCCCAACTCATCCATCAAGTCTCCCAAATAATTACCCAGTTTGAGCCTGGTCTCTCCCTCTTTTGCGGCATAGAGAGTCGGTGTCGAGGTAAAGTACCCGATTTTGCATTTGTTGCAAATAGTCGTACAACTTTAGACGGCCGTAGGCTGTGGTGAATGCCGCAATAAACACGTTGTCTGTCTTGTTGGGGGGTGCGATATACAGATTGCCGTGACACCACTGAATTAGAGCCGTGGTCTCGTTTAGGAAGAAAAAGTATTTGACTTTGTGTTTTTCTGAAAACATGTAACTGAAAAACTCCTCTGGTTCCCTGACGAGCACGGTCTGGTTCAGGTTACTTCTCCGGGCAAACTTTCCCCATAAGCTATTTAGACAGAGTTTAGCCACCTGTCTTTTAGCCGTGTTTGGTTGAATTTTGTCCGCGTCCAGCAAAATGCTCTGATTCGCCCTGTAGTCTGCAATGTACTTTTCTCTACTCTCCCGTTCCGAGGCCTCGGCGGGGTAGCCCGAGGCCTCCTGTTTACCCTTGAGAAAAGTGTGCGTGTACTCTACAAATATGTCGTCGCTGCGTCTATCAAAGTGCCACACCTCTGTGATCTCACCTAAGCGGTACCCCGACTCCAAGGCTTTGTTAAATTCGGGAGTGACCCAAACCCCCATCAACGCCCTAGCCTCATAGTCGTCCGTACATGAGCCGGCCTGAAAATTAAGCTCGTCGCACGTTCGACAGAGGGTGAACACCAGTTTACTGGTGGCTGTTTTGTAGGGGAACATGGGGAAAAACAAACCTCGAGGCGGGTAGACGACGGCCCTGATTAACCCAAAGTAGTTTTGCGGCTCTTTGAAATCTCGGTAAACTATTTCGGGGTGTCCTAGAAGATAGGGAAAGACGCAGTTAACGTAGGGATATAAGGATGTCACGTCCACGTAGCGTACAGTTTCGTTCGGTGCCGCCATGTACCTCAGCCTCACGGCGCTCGTTCTACCGGCGTACAAAGCGACGCGGGGTGACAAAGGTTGAGGGGTTTTGGCACACTCGAGAAAATCTCCCAGAAGCGGACGGGATTTTTTCAACTCGAGCCAATCGTGTTCTCTCATCACGTTCACTTTGAGACCGTGGACATACTCTAACGTCTGTATCCGCGCCATGGTGGAGGCGTGTAACTCGTCAAACGGTCTACCCGTCAGAGGGCAGGTGTCATGGGGCTGAAAGCAAGACGGACAACCGTGATAAAAACAACCCAGAAACTCCCACGCCGTTTTCACACCTCGGGCCTCGATGCAAGTGTCTACAAAGTAGCGACCAATCTGTTTTTCACCCACGTTCAACGCGTGCTGAATAAAGACACCCTCGGTATGCGACACCCACTCTAACCACTGAACGCCTGCGTTTGAGTAGGCTTTGCGACATCTTCCATAGTCGTCGGGAGATTGAATGGCCAGGGTGTTGGGACGCAGGAAATTTGTGCGAAACACTTTCATGCAGGCCGAAGCAATGGTGGCGCAACTGAAAGGGTCCACGCCCGTTTCATCGATGTAACCTTTTCTGAAAATGCCGCAGGCTTGGCCGAGAATATCCACGTCGTTTTGACAGTAGCGGATGGCTTCTTTTTCAAAATTGAACGTGCCATGACGCACCGTCTCGTACCACGCTTGATATTCTCTCTTACCCTCTTTGCTCATTTGTTTGATGCCGTAGGCCTCTGGCTCGGGGTAGGGGCCTAAGTACTTTAAATGATTCTCGGAGCTAAATCGATGGGGGAAAAAACCCTTGTTTTTATCGGGAAAACCTAGGACTTTAGGCAGAGCTGACAGACGGCTCGTCAAGAAACAGACTATCGAGCGCATCTGGCTTCATGTTCAGAGACAGTATGGCGTTCAGCACGATGTAGCTGTCAAATCCTCTAGCGTTGTGAGCGATAAAGACAGATGTTCTGTACATGGGTCGTCTGAAATGCGTAATAAACTGCACAATCTACACCCTGAGCATTCCACCTTTTGCCGTTGAGCGTTTTTTGTACACACCAGAAAAGGGACGTGCGCTCCTGACGAGTCTACGTACATCTCAAAATCGTAGAAAATCAATTTCTCGGTATGTTTTGTCTCGGCCGGTAAATGCTGTATGTAACACAGGTGCTCCTCGCTCTCATCTTTTTCTACAGTTACGCCGCAGATTTTAAATTTAACTTTTGGACACGCGTGTTGTTTACCGTTACCGTTCATAGCAATGTAGTATAGCATGTTGCATTTTTTGCATCTTTTTATCAGCTCGCAATTACTGACGTATTTTTCAGCTACGGGCCTCTTTACGGGCTCTTTGTGTTTGGCTAAACACGACACAGAACGGCACGTTCTGTTACAGTCGACACAAACTACGGGTCGGAGCTCTCGCTCGGTACAGGAGGGGTCCGAGCAAACGGAGGATTGACCCTAGCAACGGTGAGACACGACGGAGGTGTACCCCGTGTAGCAATACTCGCACACATACAGCGAGCCTAGGAAGGATTTCAGGCTCGTTATGCTGTAGTAGTGTTTTTCCAAACATAAACACCATCTTTTGTCTTCTTGGTGAATCTGTCGCAAATTTAGAAAGCGTTCGACCGTCTTCGGTTCTGTAGAACACTGCAATTTTGCAGTTTGAGACTTTTTCAAATTTCGGTATATCGCCGAACCTTACCGCGGTCTGATCCTTCAAACCCTCCTTACTTTGAATGTCTCTGCCGAACACAAACGCTTCGCTATCAACGATATCGGGGTAAAGCAGATAAGCCAAATTAGTCTCAAAACAAAGTTGGTTGTCGGGGCCGTTGATTATGACCCGCAGAAAGCGTAGCTTTTTTTAAATAATCTCGCTGTCTAAGGTATCAAACAAGAGTCTTTTTCGACCGCCGCCTCAGGGGTTTTTGACTAGTTGGACGGTGAACACCAAATTACCGTCAGTTTCAACGGCCGTGTTGGACGTTGGACATTTTCTAAATGATTTACAGCGTTAAAGACGCCCGTTTGGTTTTGGGCACTTTGATTATTAAGTTGGGTCTCGGTTTGCAAACGAGTGTCGTTTGAGGTCAAGGTTTTGGCAGGTATTTGATTTGACAAATCTCGACATTGGTTTATCATGTTTAAAACAGCTTGCGTATGATTAAGTTTGGCGATAGCAAAATCAATATCTGAGAACGGGTCAGAGATAAAAGAACTGACGGGCTTTGTTCTCTGATTAAAGAATCGGATTGTGCAAGTACTTTGTTTGAAGGCGAGGGTATGGTGGGTATTTGATTTAACAAGTCTTGACATTGATTTATGGTGTTTAAAATGCTTTGAGAATGATTAAGATCTGCGATAGCCATTGATCTGTGAGTGGGTCAGGGATTTCTTTATCTTATTGTTCCTCACATAAAGACTGAGTGGGTTCCTGAGCTTCATTTAATACATTCTGCTTTAATTCTTGTATCATCACATCAAGTTTTGAGGGATGGCGGTTGCTTTCATCCATGGTTACGGAAAACAAAAAACAAAATCAAAAAACAAATCAAAACAACAACAATCCAAACCTACACTCAAACACCAAGGCCTAGCACAAAGAGGATCTCGCTCATGTCTATTAGCACATTAGCAACGAGAAGATGTAATTCTTCTTTCTCCCTCTGACAGGTCGAACATTTGTAACTGTGCGGACATTTTCTGGGTCTTTTTGCTGAAAAAAAGAAAGAGAGAGAGAGAGAGAGAGAGAGAGAGAGAGAGAGAGAGGATTACTTATTATTCATTATTTTATTCAAATTGTATTCTAAATTAAATAAAAACAAGTAATAAATATGAAATATACGTTTGTTGGTTGGGGGGAACATTTATGAGCAGCATTTATGACGCATTTCATGTCGGACCTATATTAATAATGGTCTAACTTCCTGTTTGTAGCATTGCAGCATGAAGCCAACACAGATCCTGCGTTTTATTTTTGACAAAAGAAAATAAAAGGTTTTGACTCACCAGTTTCTTAAGTGTTATGAGAAACACTCGGTCGACTGTCGATGTCGCCGGTGCTACCGGTGCTACCGCCGGCTGTATGACGCCTCTTCCTCCCGACCACAGAAGACTGTGGCGGTTGTGCAGGAGGACGTGTAACCTCGTTCGGATGTTCCGGAGTGGCGTCGACTGCTCTCAGAGTTGCGGCGGCGGTGGTCTGGGGACTGGCTGCAGGAGCTGATGAGTCTCGGTTGAGGCTTCAGAGATTCCTCTCTCGGACTGTGGCGGCTGTGCCAAGACAAACGGTGTCAGGGCCTCAGGGGTCTGAGGCAATCATTGCACCGGGTCATGTCTTTTACCCACGCCGGCTGGTGAGGGAACCAGTGCCGGAGCAGACTGTTTAGTTCCTTCAGCCTCTGCTTGACGAATGATTTTGCCCAACTCTTCCAGATTATCGGCCGTGACTGTAAAAACGACAGAATATGTTGTGTATTAGATGTGTAAATGCCTATGAGATGTGTGCTAACAATGCGTGACATAACAACAACAACAACAACAACAACAAGACTTACAGTTGGAAAGGTTGTTATACTCTTGGCTGGGAAACCTCATGAGATAACCTTCGTCTGTTAAATCGATGAAGTCTGTAAATTGAAAATAATAATAATAAATAACAGATCGCAGTGAAACTTAAATGACAAGAAAATGGTTTAAAAAGATGGTAAAAGTTTTCTTACCACTGTCCATGATAGGTCTTGGTGTTCTTGTAAATGCGCTCTTTGGTGTGAGTAACTAACGAAGCTGGAAAAAGCTGTATTTAAAGAAAAACGTACAAATGGTAACCTATAGGGATGTAACGATACCAGAAACTCACGATACGATATTATCATGATAAAGTGTCCACGATACGATATATATCATGATAATTATACAAGGGGAAAAAAGAGAAAATTTATTGTTAAAAATAGCTATTTTATTCAAAAATAGTGCATGTACACTGTACAGCATGTTATTTTTAACTTGGAAGCGTATCATAAACAAATCAACACACAGTTGAACATGTGCTTTCATTTCCCTCCTATTACTGCTAGGCAGGCAGACATTAAAGTGCCATAACAAAGTCATGTCAGTTAAAACTATAGTGACAGAATATGAAAATGGAAACATTCAGTATTTTTTAACCTACTCTGAACAAAGGTAGTGTAGTACTATTACTAGAAAGTCATCTGAATGACATCAAATTATGAGGATAGAGTAGTCTTAATATTCATCAAATATACAGAACTTAAAACAATCAGACCCTGCAACAACAACAAAATTAACAAATTAGAAATAATGTAAACTCAGTAACACACAATTCCTCACTCTCAGATACACACACAGAGAGAGAGAGAGAGAGAGAGGACAGAGAAAGAGAGAGAGAGAGAGAGGTGGGTAGAGATGTGTGTAAAAGAAAACCAAGATAAATAAAGCCCAGCCATTTCCCTGGAAGTCATAGAAAAACTCAAAAACACACATTCACTCAGTTTGTTCACGCCAGGTTGACAATCTTGACATCAAGGAGACCCTAACACTTTCTCAGAACAGGAGATGAGGAGAGGAAAGCTCTGGTCCTGCGTTTTCATGTGATATGCGTGGCATTTCTATGCAACCCTGCATTCGCGAGTAATCCATCCAAAAGTAATGTGTGTGCAAAGCTGTATGAAAGCTTTGTTATACATTATTTTAGTGTAAACTTATCATTTGTTTTCGCTATGAAAACATTGGACTACCGACAAGTGCTTGGTCTTGTCGGAAAGCCACGATTCCGCTGTTTCACGTGATATGTGTGGCTATGACGAACGGTCGTGGAGAAAATCCACAGAGAAGAACAATCAATCTCCTTACTTTTATTTGCTGTTTCCTCCGGTCACGCACGGGTCAGAGTCGGAGGCTGAGCTGCACGAGTCTGCACGAGTCTGCTCTCACCTGCGCGCGCAGTTGCATGCAAAGGATTATGAGGAATGTAGTCACACAGTCATATTACCGGCTCTGTAGGAGAACGCAGCTATATAACTACCGTGGCATTCCCACGACGGTATCGAGAATTTATTTTATCGCGACACCGCGAAATTCGACATATCGTTACATGCCTAGTAACCTATGCTTTCTTGACCACCCCTGACTGATGCCTTGTTTGTAATATGTGCTTAAAGGTCACCGCGTATGGTCTAGATTAGTAAACAGCGGTAAAGCTAGTAAACACTTGTATCGATAAATGGTGGTCTTTTCTAGTTTGTTTTACATCTGGTAAGGTGATTGGAGAAACTAACAGAGTGAATAGTGTGTGGAGGTCAGGAGGACGTTTGACTACTTTAGGTTCACACTTTGGGTTGTTCGGTGAGAATTGCTTGTACTTTTCACAATAATGTTTAACCGTTAATCTTTTCAGTCTTTAGAACTCATCTTTTCACCCTCTGTAACTAATATAATTAACGTGTTGAAACTTTTACATGTCAAAAAAAAGTTTAAATAAACTGAATATTTAATTTGCTGTGTGTGTGTGTGTGAGACAAAGAGAAAGAGAAAAAAGAAGATGGTGAAGACGTGCACTGAGACTTTGATGATGATGTTTCCATTTAACCTCCTTTCTATGTCACCATATCATGATAGTGTGAATCATGAATATCACAAACATACAAACAATATATACAATCCTTTTCCCCCTCCCAACATCCTGCTCATCTCATCAATAAGCTTGCTCTAAACAAACAGCGTTCACCCTGGTGTTCACCCCGAAGGAAGGAGTGATGGTCACCATCCATCAAATTTTGACAGAAGCAGAAGCAAGAAGCATTTATTTTTTTAAGAAATTGATTATTATGTAAACCATAAAATGCATTCTTACCTGTTGGTCATGTTGAAGAGGTTGGTGGTCTAGGCATTGTTCGGCCATCTCAGAGGACCTTGCACATATATTCCTCTTCCACTTCAGGTATTTCTTGTCCCAGGATGAGCTGATAGTTTTTAATTTCCGAAGGCAGCTTCTCCTGTTGACAGAGATGCCAATCCTGCCAAATCTATCATAGCACCTCTTCTTAGCTCCTGCGTGCTGCATAAGAAGTGCATTTAAGTACATTGGTGCGCACATGAATTTCGAACGTGCTCGAAGAAGAGTAGCACCGGCCATTGCCATTTTGCATATTTTTGCACGAGCATTTCCTTCCCCTTTTTCGGTGGAAACGGTACTTGCACTTTTCAGAAACTGGAGAAATGTTGGCGCTTTCTCCTTCCATTCATCCAGAACTTTATCCCAGGAAAACTTTTTAAGATCTGATGGGGTTGTTTTTTTCAATATGGATTTCCACTTGTTACCAGTCAGTTTTTGACATTCTTTGTCTACACGCTTAAAAACCTGTTTAATGGCAATGTTGTCTAAACCAGGAACATCCATAACCAACTTTGGCAATCTTTTGGTATGATTCCTTTGAAGACACATGGCAATCTTCTCAATAGGTCCAGTAACAATCCTGGAAAGTGTGGCAGGTCCATGGGTGACAATAACCTTGGAGAGAGAGAAAAACAAATACATTACAAAACTCCTTGAAAATAAGGTCTTAATGAAAGACAGATTTTGCCAGGGTGACACGACATGCAGATAGATGAACATTACAAGAACCACATAGTGACCACAGTGTGTGTGTGTGTCTGTGTCTGTGTGTCTGTGTGTGTGTGTGTGTGTGTGTGTGTGTCTGTGTGCGTGCGCGTGTGCATGTGTTTTGTTAGTAATGGATTACATGTAATTGGGATAACCATAATCAGTTTAAAAAATAATAAATTACTTTATTAACCCCAGATTAGTGATTAATCAGGTGTGCGCTGGTTGTTTTTGCCGCACACCTGATTAATCACTTACTCCAATAATATCGGCCAATATATCGGGCCGATATTTGAGTTTTTTTACTTGTATCGGCATCAGCCGATACACGCATGGGTTCGCGGATTTATTTTTCCCTGGCACTTTTTTTCATTTGAAAGTATGTAGTTAAGTTGAACAAAGCTGTTGAATCCTACTGTGTACAGTAGTTGTTGTTTTATTTATGCTTCAGCTTAAATATTTGTTTATTTTATAAAGACATTACTGGAAGATTTAAGAGCACTGAACTCTTTTTTTATTTGAATGTATAATAATCTTATACATCTTATACATTATTATTATTATACATTATTCTTATTTTAAACTTGAGACCTGTAATATTTGTTATCATTTTTTCATTTTTTTGATGTAAATTGAGGGAGCAAAAGCAGTATCGGCCCCAAATATCGGCTCAAGAAAATCGGCAGTCCATAATCGGTCATCGGCTAAGGGTGATGGAAAAAAGATCGGTATCGGCATCAGCCCTAAAAAATCCATATCGGTCTATCCCTAATAGGACATGAAATAAACATGCCCACTTCCTTTCAGGAAGTAGTGGAGCTGGTGCACAGAGCCTATTAAAACACATACCTACAGACTTCTGAACAGTCTCTATGCTAAAGCCATACAAGCACACTGACACACCAACCTTAAGGGTTACACATAACTGTGACATATCTAACATTTAAAAACTGCAATATCTCTCAAAGACAGTGCAATATATTCAGAATGTTTACAGTGGTTTTATGTTGTTTGTACATGTGCAATGACTGACTTCTACATACGTGAGCGAGTGAGTGGCTTTATGTACATGAGTGAGTGATATAAATGCAATCTTATTTATTTATTTTATTCTTAATCTTTTACTGCTGGGAGGAGTGCCTGCGATTCCGTTGTGCTATTCCGTTGTGCTTTTAATACAATGACAATGGACCTTTTTCACGGCAGCCACTTTGATATGAGATAGTAGCACAAATACAGGTGTTATCAATTATAATAATTAAGGTTCTGTTCCATTCAGGCCAAACAGAGTCAGGTGCTGCTATTGTGCATGTTGGCTCATTAGAAAAGCTCTGCTACACTAAATTCAACAGAACCTTAATTAGTAGCATTGGTAACACCTGATTTGTTTTATTATCTCATGTCAAAATGGCTGCCGTGAAAAAGGGTCTATAAAGATATCTGTCTGTCTATTAAAAATTTACACAAAAGAAACATGAAAGAGTGTTATCAACTTTGTTTATGTTTACAATAAGTTTGACTAAGATGACTGACATTCTTAAACAGCTCACCTTAGTTACTCGTTGAGGCTGTTGGGGCTCAGGCCTGGATTCAGCAGCTACATGTTGTTCTGCGTTCATTCTGCTGGTCGCCCCATCATCTAATGATACTACACCGCCCATGTCATCTGGATCTGTACCCTCAGCCTCACCACTCGGGAAAAGTTTTCGTAACGCCGGACTGCTGCCGCGACTATCTTCTGGAGGACCTGGTTCCATTTTGAGCTGCTGACTGGGTGTTGAGGGGGCACATCTTTTAAACCTCGGCACTGTGGTAGCTTTTTCTTTTACAAAAGAGCCAATTCCCTCCACATCAGCTTTGCTCCGTCCATACCGTCGCAAAAGCGTGCGACAGGTCCCACATACCGCTTTGGGTAGTCCATCTCCCTGTGTAACGCGTTCTCCTGTGATGTCTTCCAAAGCCAATGTATAGTCCGGCCGGACGGATAAGTCATGGCCTTGTAAAACATTATGTTTGTTTCTTTTAGTTGGCGAGAATGAGTCGCCGCAAACGCGACAAACATCCACTAACTCTGACGGAGTTTTCTGCGATCGCTGCTCAGCCATTTCTTTTTTCTGCTTCTTCTTCTTCTTCTTCTTCTTCTTCTTCGTTTCCGGCAGTATCGACGCTACTTGGCGTATCACTGCCCTCCACTGGACAAAGTCTTTTTATTCTCACATAAAGCCCTGCTTCACTCAGGAACTGTAAGGCTGCTCTTGTAATCATCTCACCCTGCCTGAGAATAGATTTAACAGAAAATGTCTCAACACCCAGCTCTGACAGCTTCTTATAAAAAGACCTCCTCTCTGTTCTATACATCTGACATTCCAAAAAACATGTTTAATTGTTTCTGAACACCCACATGATTCAATCCACAATGCCCAAGCCTCAGTCTGCAGATTTTAACAGAAACACTTCGAGTTCCAAAACTATAACTGGCTTTTCTAACCAGGGGCTGTAAAGAAAAATAATAGCCTACCTTCCTCTAGTCTCCTTTTCCCGCACAGTACCTGCCATTCTTTTTCAACACCCTCTTTGATTGTTTCTCTCAGTTCCACTCTTCCCGGAGATATATTTAAATCTATTGCTTCTTTCTTCAGGGTTGCCTTTGCTATAGAATCTGCAATTTCAGTTCCCTCAACTCCAGCATGTCCAGGAACAACAAAACAAAACTTGACTGCACACCCAGTCTTTCCAACTCGAAACAGAACAGACAACATTTCTTTAACAAGATCAGGCCGAGCTTTCGATTTACCTCCTCTTAAAGCCAACAGAGCAGCTGCTGAGTCCGACCAAATGAGAACTGATTTTGGTTTTGTGTCCTCAGTCCACCACAGAGCCCAAAGAATCACCAATAATTCTGTAGTGAAAACAGAACTTCCATCTGTGATACGCTGATCAAACTTGAGTCCCAGCTAGAGCTACATACACCCCAAATCCTGCTTTCACACTCTCTGGATCCTGAGAACCACCTGTGAAGATTTTCAAGTAATATTCCATAATGCTGTTAAGATATTGATCTATTTGAGGAGCTATCAGAGTGTTATCTTTTTCTTGCATAAAGTGAGATCAACATCCGGTTCCTGCATTACCCAGTGAGGTACAGGTAACCAGCCTGCTGTGCTGTCCTGCTCCATTCCTAGTTTCGTGACCCAATGATGCACACTGTCAGTAAATGATCTGTACTTGACCCTACCACCTGGCTCTTGCAAGAGACACCTAGCTGGGAGTGCCTGATCAGATCCTCTTAATTTTACCCAGTACTGCAGCCCCAACTTACTACGTCTTAAACATAAGGGCATTTCCCCCATTTCTATGAGCAGTGGTGAGGTTTTAAATGCCCCACAGCAGAGTCTCAATGCCTTGGCTTGCAAAATGTCCAGCTTCCCCAGCAGTGACTTAGCAGCAGATCCATATACATAACAACTGTAATCTATTATAGACCTTATCATTGCTTTATATATTAAATGCATAGTCTCTCTCTCTCTGCACCCCAATCACATCCATCCAGACTTCTCATTACATTTATCACTTTTTCATATTTTGCCTGTATTTTTGCAATATGAACAGCCCATGTCAGTCGTTCATCAAACCATAAACCCAGAAATTTAAAAACTTTCACTCTCTCTAGCGAGGATCCATACATTTTCAATCCCACCTTAGGTATCTTTCTTTTGAATCCAAAAATCATAAATTTTGTCTTCATGGCTGAGATTTTAAATCCCCACTTATCTGACCATTCCTCTATAGAAACTAATGCCCTTTGAACTTGCTTTAAATTGTCCTCTGCATTTCTCCCTCTTCTCCATATGGCCCCATCATCTGCAAATAAAGACTGCCCAAACCCTTCATCATTATATTAAAAAGAACGGGACTAATTACACTGCCTTGCGGCGTGCCATTTTCAATTTCTACAATTTTGGACCATGTCCCACTCACTTGTACTTGTATTGTTCTTTTCATCAGAAAGTTTTTAATCCAATTAAACATTCTACCTCTTACTCCTAAATCATAAAGTTGAATCATTAGTCCCTCCGTCCACAATGAATCATACGCTCTTTCAATATCTAAAAATACACTTACCACTATTTCTTTATTCTCAAATGCCTTTTTAATATCTTGCTCTAAGACTGCAACAGACTCCATTGTTGACCTTCCATTTCTAAACCCATTTTGAACATTAACAGAAAGTCCCTTGCTTTCTATAAAGAAAACCAACCTTTTAGTAATCATCTGTTCCATGATTTTACAAAGCACTGATGTTCATGCTATTGGATGGTATGAACTGGGATCACATGAATCTTTGCCAGGTTTCAAAATAGGAACTATAACTGCATATTTCCATTCCACAGGCAGACAGCCCTCCTCCCACACTGAGTTAAACAAAGCTAACAACTCCTCAAGACCAAACTCATTTAAATGTTTAAATAATTCATAGGATAACCCATCCCTCCCAGGAGTAGTGTTTGCTCCAGAACATATAGCATATAACTCTGTCATATTAAAAAACAGATTAATTGGATTTACATTATCTGAATTCCCAGCCAACTTCCACTGATTTATTAACATTACTTCAGTCCTCTTCCTACTTCTTTCAACTTCCAGATTCCCAGAACTATGTACTGCTTGAAAAACATCAACAAGCATGTCAGCTTTTCCTTCATCTGATATGGCCTCCACTTCCCCATTTTGCAAAACTGGAATAGGTTTCCTTTTATAAAGACCTGACATTCTGTGTACAGCTGACCACAATTGCCTTACATGAGTTTCAGGGCCTAGTGTTCCACAATATCTCTTCCAACTATTTCTTTTTGTAGTTTTAATCACTCTACCTTGGAGCCCTCCCTTTCCCTTCTATTCTCAAACCTGCACAGAATTGGGTAATGATCACAACGTATTGTATATCTGTCCATAACTTCCCACTCCCCAATTCTGGCCAAGCTTGAAGAGGCAACATACAAATGACTTGAAGTATTCCTAACAATATGAAATCTGGTTGGCCTTCCATCATTGATCACTGCCAGATCATACTTTTCAAGGAATTCTTCCACAACTCCTCCATTACTATCCATAGCAGCACTGCCCCATAATGGGTTATGAGCATTGAAGTCCCCAACCCATATAATAGGACATTTAACCTGTAACATAACCTCATCAAATTCTGACAACACTAACCTTTTACAAGGGTTATAAACGTTAACAATATTTATAGGACCCTGTCTAGACCAAACTTCCACAGCCAAACGTTCAAGAGTAGAATTAATATCAGTTAATTTAATATTTTTAAACTCTGAAACTGTATCCACCCATCTAAACACAAAATCAGGGAGAAAGACATCAGTATTAAGCAAAGCGTCTAAAGACTGACTTGTGAGTCTAAGAGGAAACAAGTCACATATATGAGAAGAGACATAATTTTGAGATGGTTTAGAGGCCTTAGTCAAAACTGAAACTTATTAAACAAATTAATATTATGAAAACCCAACTATCTCTACTTTGACTTATTAAATCTCATAATTTATCTTATAATTCGTGTATAGTACATTGTAGCTCTACTTATCTATCAGTAGGCTACTATAGTGGAGCGGATAAGTGACATAATCGTCCAGTTGGTGATACAAGCGTGGAAATTGGCATGAGCAGTCTCCATGGGTCACTTGACAAGAAAATTGCCACAGCCAATTGAAATATCAAGATGGCAGCCATTTTTCAAGATGGCCGCCACCTTTTTGGAGCAGTTATGTGGTGTAAACGTTCAGTTGGTGATATAAGCATGAAAATTGGCATGAGCAGTCTCCATGGGTCACTTGACAAGGAACTACTCACAGCCAATTGAAATTTCAAGATGGCGACCGTTTTTCAAGATGGCTGTCACCTTAGTTACATCATATTAATAAGTTCGGATGATATAAAGTCACAGTTTCCTGTTTCACGTTATTATCAGACACAAATAACCTAGGTTGAATCATATTGTTTTTTATTTGTTAGTTTTTTCTACATTTTGCAGCAGTTGGCAAACGCTTTGTGGCAACGGCCACTAGACAGGACAGGACAGGACAAGACAGGAGTCTTTCCCTTTCTGAACCTGATGCAGAGGGAGAAACAACGGAAATTAGTTCTCTGTAAGAAAAGAAAAAATAACATTTAGACCTGGGAATATGATTGGAGTGTCTGAAACATTTATCTGTTGAAATAGGTAATCTCATATGCCTTGTAAACTTCTTGACTGTTATTTTTTATGTTTAAATCTGAATGCAATTATGTTGTGATAGCCAGTGCTATTGATATGTTATTCAATATTAATGCTCAAGTATATTATACAACAGTTAGTTCCGACCGAGTAATTTGATTGGACGGGAGGCATTCTGTGAGTGCTGATATAGAGTATAACATCACTGGGACATGTAACAGTAAAATCACTCTGCTCACAGGTTTTATAAATATAAATACAACCGTTAATTAACCAACTGTCACTCCCGCTAACTTGCTGCAGTTGTGATGAGTAAAAGCGCTGCCACTATTTGTTAATGTTATTACTTTATGTCCGACTGTGAGGATGTACCATTGTTTGCTAGCTTGATGCTAATGACAGTAACGTTAATTCAGCAGGTTGACAAAGTGCCTCTGCTGTTTCACACCATCATTCCCCCTTTTACTCTGTGTGGTAACATTCGTAGAAGAAATATTAAAAACGCTGGGGTGTTGTTGTCATACAGTTGTCTACGGCAGCAGATCATTCTGTGTTTCTACTGGTCAAAGTGACGGCTGTGATGGGAGAATTGGATCTCAGTGAAGGGCAAGTGGTCCATAACTTTAATTTTGGAGACAAAAAAATGTAGGCTTAGCACCCTGTGGTCCATTGCCCAATAGGAAATGTAGAATACTCAAAAGTACTTTAAAAGTGCTTGAGTTACTTTTCTCAGGGAGTAACGTTGGAAGTACTTTTAAAGTACTTGAGTTACTTTACTCAGGGAGTAACGCAGTAAAGTAACTGGTTACTTTTTAAAAAGTGACTCAGTAAAGTACTTTGATTACTTTTAAAGTAACCCTTACCCAACTCTGGTTACTGTCATTAGCATCAAGCTAGCAAA